ATTTTAAATCCGATATTCTCCATTTTTTATACAATACTAGAACAGGACCCGCGTTAATACGCGGGTAAACACATTAAAAGTATTAATATCAAAATTTAAGTTTTAATTAGTAACATGTTTATTTACAAAAATATTTTGAAATATTTAAACATGAATTTCAAACTATTAAAGTTTAATATATATTTTAATTCTCATGTCCTAATTCATATTATGCACGCCGAAAAATATATGTACATAAATAGAATTCAAATCATATTTTTAATAATAAAAACAAATATTCTTATTCATTATGAATTTATATTAACTATATAATAAATTTTTATAACAATTAAAATATTATAGAGTTAAATTATAAAAAATATAAATTTATAAAAACTATTAAAATATTTTATAACATTTTAATCAATATTATATATAAATCTATGATTGATAAATGTCATTGATGTCAGATCTATACTTATCAAATCTTACACTTTAGATCTTAAAATTAAATATACTATTACACTTTTGGCTCATTTTATTTTTTCCTCTTATATAATTTTTTTTTGACATTGAAAAGTATAGGTAAAAGATTTATATTTTTTTGTAATATTCTACAACTATGTTTACAAAGTAAATATGTTTATAGATTTTTTTTCTTTGGTATGTTTGTGCATATATATTTTAAATTAGGGTTTCCATGTTCTTTTTTTCTTTTTAAACGTCTGAATATTATTGAAACCAAGGTCCAGGAAATAAAAGTAGGAACATGAAAATAAAGTAAAACATATAACATCAACTCCCAATTACAAGGGACGAAGAGATGTTAGCGGCGAGCATCACGAGCAATACGATCATGGAGCCATGACGGGCCTTCCAAAACAAGATATGACTGGAATCTTCCATCTCTAGTAACACTAGAAGAAATTTCACGAGCAACTCCATTTGCGGGGATCGATTCGGCTTCAAAAACATAAGAGCTAAAGCCGAAATGAAGGCTAGCGATCTGCACTAGTAAAACTGGATATCTCGGCCATTCTGTGGGTTTGAGTATCGCTTCTAAAGCTGCTTGACAGTCAAAAACAATCACCACATCAGACAGCCGAAGATCTATCAAACTTTGTAGGGTCCAGATGATACAACGCAATTCCGCCACAATCTTATTTGGAGAACATGTGAAATCTTCACGGGCATGGAAACAAACAGAGCCAGTACAGTCCCGAGCAATCCATGCTCCACCATTATGAAAAGAGACATTTTGCCATGTCGAGTTGACATTACACTTAACCGTACCTTGTAAAGGAGGCAACCATCTTACTTCTTTGCTGTGTAATCTCATCACATTAGGAGCCAGTTCCTCTTTATGTAAATTTACTTCTCTCCAAATCTTTTCTTCCTCAAAGGCTCAGTGAATCACACTAGTAATTGTCTCCTGATGTTGAGCATATAAGATGGAATTTCGACGTTTCCACACATTCCACAATAACCAGGGTATCACTCTGCTGATATCTTCGGGACTCCCTTTGTTATCCATCAAGTCAAGAACGTAAGCCATATTCTCTACCAAGGAATTTGAAAATCCATTAACGGGCAGAAGAACACCACCACCATT